GTAGAAAATGCTGTGACAAAAACCCATCACTTGTCATTTTGGAGGAGATTAATTCCCCTGTGGGAGGTGGCCACCTGGGTAAGGTGGCTCAGCTGACAAGCTGGGGAGGGAGATCGCTGGCCATGGAGCAAGTGTTGCCTCGAGATCTCTCACCTCCACCCTGAGAAAAGGAGACTAGGTTATTTTTCCATATAAAAGAAGATATGGGGAGAGGAAACCATAGCTCACTGTCAGCTATTCTGATGGTTGCAGAGTGCCACCACCCTTCCTCATCACCCACGTGCATTATTTTTAGGGTTTGTTTGCCTCACTTAACTCCAGCTCATTCTTTCTTAGGGTGACAAGGACTTCCTTCTCACAGCTGCCCAGGTGGCACATCAGAAACCACAGCCGTGCCTGGAGAAGCTTCCCCTTCACCGCTATCTTAATCAGTGGATTCACCAGCCCTGCAAATGACCTGGCGGGAAGCAGTGTCTGGGGCAGCATGAGAAGGGAGAGGACAAGCCAGTGCCTGCGCTGGCTGAATGGGAGCAACTGCATTTAGTGAGGCCTATTTCCAGTTTACCTCCCCCTCCCAATCCATTTGGTGTCTAGAGCTTTTAAACTGCAACTTAATACACATTTATAACAAGCACATATGCACAAGGAAAAAACCTGAAAGGAAGGGAGAAATGTTTGGCAGTGATCCTTTACCTGGAGGAATGAGGAGTCCAATGCTTCTGAGCAATGAAGAGGTTTCTACTAGTTCTCAAAGTGACTTGGAGAAGGGATTGCAGGAACAGCCTGGAGTCCAGATGGCTGTGACTAGGTGATAGCTCTCTCTCTTGCTTTTGGTGTGGTTTATTGCAGAGCAGTGGCCCCTTTCTGTAACAAGGACTGGACTTTTTTAGTTGACTTTTTAAAGATTTAAAACTGAAATTGGTCCCAGTCCCCCAGTGAACTGTAAAAAGAAATTTCTCTTCCTCTGTCTTGCCAGTGAGAGAGATTAAATTGAATTAAATCCATCCTGGAAATGCACCTGTTTTCAGTAACAGATTCTGCATGGTTTAGCTGGGATATTTACAGTGCCTTCTAAGGTGGTGGTTGCTTGGTGACCTGGACTATACCAGTTTGAATCAGAGTTGTATGTTGGAACCTGTGCTTCTTACAATTCAGGAATTTTCCTGTTTAAAAGTTTAGTTTGCACTTGGTTCTGAGAAGCACAGGCAACTTGTTAAATGAGTATGGCAGCTTTCTGCAAAGCCAAAGTTCTGTTTTGTATTTTGTGTGCTGGAGCTCAGGGCTCCTACTTCAGGAGGCTGCATCTAATGCACAAATGAGCTTCTTGGACTTTAGTGCAGTTGAGCCTTCTGACCTAGTTGTGGTAAGTGAGACCTAATGTTTATTCAAGGAGTTTTGGTTTTAGACTTTTATTTTCTTGAGTAGCATTGTGGTGCCGTGGTCTTGAGATGCTCCATGTCACTGCTTGAACCTCCGGCCGGATGCGGCAACTAGCCTAATACTTTCTCTCTAGGGAGAAACCATGACTGATACACACTAGTGAAAGCAGAAATGATCCTTATTGCTTTGGCACTCGAACATGAAGCTGCATGTTTGCCATGTCTTCTACTTTTGCCTGAGGTTCTTTTCTCTTTGATTCCAAGGTGCTCAGTACATGGCTCGTGGCCTGCCTTTGTTACAGACAAACAAGAGGCCTTGGTTTATTCTAGCAGCCCAGAAGAAAGTGGCAAGATGGTTTAGTCTCATGCGATTTAGGTGAAAATGTATCTTTCTAAGTATGAAATCACAGAAGCTGCTTCTCATTCTTGTGTTTTTCACCAAAGCAAAGGATTTTGTGGAGCTCTGGAAGGGACCCAGCATATCCTTTATAAAGGATGTTGACCATCCCTGTGCTTTGAGGCATAAATCAACCATGGAGGTCAAGAAGACGTGTTCTGTGTATGTTAATCATGTTACACTGGCCTGTTTGAGTTGCAGAGCTTGTCTGAACTAGCATGGTGATTTCTACTATTCCTTTATATGTAAGATGTTCTAGCCACGAGAATTGTGGTCAATGCCTCCTGCTGTGAACAATTTACACGATAATATATTTTCATTACTGATTTTTTTTAATGAAAAGTGAACAATAAAGTGTTACAGTACAAATATTTTCCATGTAAACATTGATAGGAAGCCATCAGGTATATCTGTTACTGGAGCAACATTAAAGCAATTAGGTTAAGGGTTAGAATTAAGAAAAATACCACTATTTTAAATTCATTGATGACCTGTTTACTGTATAATTCATCAATGGATAAGGTAAAAAAAGATTTTTTTTTTTCAATTAGGAAGTTTTATATGCTTTTTCTGCAGGGCAATACTGATATGACACTAGGTTGATCAACAAACATCACTTGACAGGACCAGAAGGATGTGATACTGCCACTAGGATACGTGCAAGCTACATCTGATGGAGAAAATACAAGGGAAAAAAATGAAGGTATTTTTTTTAATTGTTTATTTTTCCAGAAATACCAAAACATAGTCAATTTTGAGACTTCACTGAGGAATTTCAAGATAGGATCTTAAGTCAATGTTAATATGATTTACCTAGGTAAGTGGCCTTTAATCTTTTGCTTTGAGAAGAACTTTCACTCTGAAGTCACCACTGTCTTGTTTAGGAGGCGCTAATGCTTTTACACAGTCTCTTTTCTCTAGATGAGTAACAGAATATCAGATTTTCAAATATCTAAGCCCTGTGCTTTAGTATCTCGTTCTTATATAAGTAGCTGCATTTTTTCCTATTAACAATACTTCTAGTTGATAAAGACCTAAAGCATTCTCAGTTTGCAGAGGGGGCTTTTATCAAACAGGATACAAATACAATTGCATGTTTTGGTGATGCAGATTTCCTTGTTGGAATAAGTTAGGTGAATATATTTTGCATTAAAATGTTTAGTTAAAGCAATGTATTTTTCAGTGTACATTCGTGTACATATTTATCTCTATTTCCTATGAAAAGCAGCTTTACATATCTCAATATACATTAAGAATATATTGTTACTGATGAATAAAACTGAAAAGACCCTGTAGTATAGATATTCCTCATTATCACTAAATTCTCATTAGCTGTGTGCCTTATCTTAGTAAGGACTATAGGAACAAACCAAGAACAAATGACCGTGCTGTGTGTCAGTCTTAACTCCCCATTTCATATGACAAAGAGGCAGCATTTATTGCATATATAACATGGGCATTAGAAAAGAAAATGCTTTAAACAATTGGATGGGATTATCTTTCAACATAGACAAGTACTGCAGAGCAGAATGTACTCTCTTTCTCAGTTCTAGCTCATGGCAAAATCCCTTACCCCAGAGCCAAATGCTTTAAGAATTTTTTTATGATGGCAGCCAGCTGTATAGCTGGCAGCTTTGTCTCAAAAATGGCTAACGGGATTATTTCCTTGGAAGGTCAGTTTTCATTCTCATGTCTCCAGAACAATGTTTTTTGATCTGTGGTCCGTAGAGTTCCCTAGATTACTTCTGATGGGTCCAAGAGTGATAACGAAAAAAGTATAAATGTCTTCTCAGGAATTTTATGTTTTGCTCTGCATGGCTCTGATCTCCACTGGAACATACTTAGAGGTTCCACAAATCAAAACTGTTCAAGTGCTGCTCTGGAAGGTAGGGTCAGATATATGCACTGACCTAGCCTGCTACTGCCCTGCACCAACGGGGATTCATGGGCAAGAACTTCTGCCATTGGTGTCTGGCTTCAGGGAGAGCTATGTGATACGGGGATTGTGGCATACTAGTCAATAACAGCTGTACAATTGCAGCAGCTCCTCCGCTGTTGACATTCAGATGTCCCATGGCAGCAGTTCCCAGGGTATTCATCCAGCAAGAGGCATCTTCATTCTTCTAGTAAATGCACCAACTGGCATTATGTTCTGGGCTGCTTTTCAGGGTCTTATTTTACACGACAATAATCTGTTGCTCAGCTGCCATGTTCCTTTCAGGTACGTGACCCTGGCAGTAGTCTTCAACACGTGACTGTCTTTTGCATTTAAATCAAGCCACAATGAATGACATCTTTATTAGCAGTGACAGTATGAACGCAAAACACATTTTCAGTAGCTTATAAGTGAAATACATATCTGACTTATAAAAAGCCAGCTGCTAAAGTCCTCCTAGAAAGAGACATGTTGATGAGGAAGGGAGGGGGAAAAAAAACCCCTCGTTCATCTCTGAGGTCAGCAAGCAATAGCACAGAAAGCCCCTACACGTATGTGAAAATCGGCAGACTGTCCCCAGCAGCCGATAAAGCTCAATATGAGCAAGCTTCAGGTATTGGCAAACTAAAGTGGTTGGACGATGGGCACAAGCATATCCTGAGAGCCTTGCCCATAGAAATAGATACAGACTTGCCCTGGGCTTAATTTTGTGAAACGCTGAGCATTCTGGCACCAAACACATGCTTTGATATCAAGCATATGGGTAGACAGTTCCTTACCATGTCAGGAATAAGGATGACATTGGGACAGAGTGGATGGCTATGCAGTAAGAATGTATTTTTAAGCACCTGGCTGGATAGGTGAAGGAATATCTGTTTCTTAATTTGTTTGTATGCCTGGTGATTGGAAAGGCTTCAGTTATGTGGGGCTTGTAACTCAGATCACTGAGAGCTTGTCTCCATGCAGAAAGTTTGAATTGAAAGTGCACTAGCTACCCTTGCATCAGCCCCTGCACAGGGAGATGCCCTTTCAGAGTTTAAAGTAGTCTTTCATTGATTTAGCTTAATTAATTTCCAGAGCGAAGCAGCTGTTTCTAAAGAATACAAGTCGATATCTGGGTGCAATGAGTTTTGTTCCTTAGGATGCACCTTCTTTATAGATATCATCACTACAGACAGAAGTGAATTGGAAGTTATTTTCCTGTCAAATTTATGAGATGCCACAATAATATGCATAATTACTGAAACTATGCACATCATGTATGCATTTAGGATTAATTATGCAAACTTCTAGCTTTTAGTGGGGAAGGTAGAGCTGAGAGTTGCATGCTAGGGTACTTCATAGCTTATATTGCATACTCTGTTAAGCTTGGAGCCTGAGACCGTTGGTGCTGTTTTGCCTTGAAGGCTGGGTCAGTGCAACAGGCATCATTTGTGTACATATGGAAGAGCAATAGGCAATCTTGTTAAATGCAACACAAAGCAAGAAAGCTCTTGGGAGTTCAGTTCTAAATAAGCAATTCTGTTGCGCAAATGTCTTGCTGTCTTGATATGTGTTGTTTTTAAAAGAAAACGGTTCTATTTTGGAGCATTTCTCATTTCAACTAGGAAAGACTAAAATAAAGGTCAAGTGGCATGATAAATTTTAGACTCGGTGTCCCTCTCCCCTGCTTAAGTATTAGTCAACAGCTTTATTGAAGTCTCTCCATCTGTGGGAGTGTTGGATAGCAATGCTCGTTGCTTGAAATGTGGGGAGGCTCCTGAATTTTCCGCTTCTAGCAGTGGCAGGTCCTGCTCTATCAGTAATTCAAAATAGTGGCAGTGTACAAAACTGCCAGCCTTCAGCTCAGTCAAAGCCTGCATAGAACTCGCCTTATGGTGAGAAAGTGGTAGTTGTCTCTGTCTCCATGGCAGTGGAAAACCTCTTGCTCTCGCGGCAGGTGGACAGCTGCCAGAGACGCTCTTGACTCAGGCAGCCAAGTTCCTTGAGAAGCTTGAAGAGGTCATTGCGGAATTTGACACCAATGAAGGCATAAAGGAAAGGATTGAGGCAACATCGGAAGCAGGCCAGAGTGTAGGTCACGTCATCTGCCATGTCAAGCTTCTTGCTCTCCTCACACGAACTGGTGTGATTGAAAGCTGAGATGGTCTTGGCCAGCATGACGCTGTTGTAGGGCAGCTGGAAGACAAGGAAAACAATTACCACAGCAATGATGACCTTAATAGCTTTATTCTTCTCAAAGTTGCGGGCCTGGAGTAATGTTTTGATGATGATGAGGTAGCAGACAGACATGACCAGTAGGGGAAATAGGAAACCAAAAATCATTTGGGACACCTTGATGCCAGTGTTAAATGTCTGCAAGTCAGTAGCGATGATAGAGCAACGGGGATAGCTGTCTGAGTTATTTATGCCACTGTGAACCAGCTCAGGGATTGAGAGGATGAAGGCGAGGAGCCAGATGAGGATGCACGTGACCTTGCTAATGAACATCATCCGGGGACGGAAGCGGTGGGCGGAGGCAGCCTGAACGATAGCAAAGTACCTGTCGATGCTGATGGACAGGAGAAGCAGCATCCCACTGAAGAAGCTCATCTTGCAGATGCAATAGACAGCTTTGCAGGCAAACTCCCCAAAAAGCCAGTACATGGCTGCACTTGTGGCCCAGAAGGGGAGGGTCAGCAGAAAGAGGATGTCTGCCAAGGCCAGGTTCAGCAAATAGATGTCCGTCATGGTCTTGAGCCTCTTGAAGTAGATGTAGGTCAGCATCACGAGCCCGTTCCCCACCAGCCCGATGAAGCAGATGAGGGAATACATGGCCGGGAGAAAGGCAGCACGGAAGTTACGGACCTCCTCTTTCTCGCACGGGGTCTCAAACATGGTGTAGTCGATGGTGGTATTGGAGTCATAGTCATTGGTGACGTTGTTGCCAGTGCAGAACTATAACAGGGAAGAAAAAAAGTGCATTGAGACAGGTAATCTGGATGCATTGCCTTTGTCCTTCCATGAGTTGTTTCAGGATGAGGACTGAAGTTGGCATGAAAGCAAGCAGGAGCATCCAGCCAACAGACAGCAGAGAAATCCCAGGGGGTTTCCAAGCATTTCCTCATGCAGATATCATGAATAGAGTTGGCAGAGTTTCATGGCTGAAAACTTTTGCCATAAGCATGTAGGGGCTGGGGGGCTTGGGAGTCAAAGTGGGAATTCCACAAGAAATGTTAGTGCTCAGCTGACATGATACCTGAAAACTCTCAGATGCGTAGCTGTTTTCCAGATGTTTTGGGACCTAAATACAGCTGTGTATACATAGTCAGATGTCAGATAAAATAGGAAAAAAATAATAGATCCTTCAGTGTTCTCCTCCCTTCAGAAGGAAGAAAATTTCCTCTTGACTGACTATACTCAATAGGCATTTTCTAACTTTATTTTTGTCCCTCCCTCCTGGGTTACTCCTGTTTTTCATGTGAACTTCCCACTAGTGAAAGCACTAAAAGAGGAGTATAACAACATGTTGTGTTTCTAGCCAACAGCAACCTGGCGCTGCAAGCCCTCAAAATTATTGCATGCTTCCTGGTCCTCCTGTCTCCCTTGTTCACTCCCAGCAAAGGGTAAGCCTGTAAAATAGCTAAACCAGTGATGTGAATAAAGGGCTCTGTGGGAAGACAAAGCTGGAGCCTCCTTTGGCTTTTTTCCTCTACTAAGTTAATAGAAGTGTCAATGAAGCTCTGAGGAAGCACAGTGACTGAAGCAGGAAATTGTTACTGTGCTGACAGGGATGAGTTCTTGATGTCTCATTCAGGCCCCTGCCCCTGATTTAAGTTCTGATTATTCTTGTTTCATCTTCCTACACTACCATAATCTACAGAGTAGAGAGAGCTTGTGGTATCTGTGCCCTGTTTTTCTGTGACTTATTAGTCTCCGGTACCCTTTCTCCATTGCATAGAGATGAAAGGTTTCCCCTGGATACCTCTGCCTGTTATCACTGAGTATCTTAGCACACTCTCCATCTCAGGCAGGCTTGGCTTTCACCACATCCTGCGTGCTACCTGGAGGCATGCCACCAGAAGTGAAAGGGAAAAGAAGCAGGCTGCAAAAACCTCCCTGCCTTGCTGAGCTTCTTGAAGAGGCTGAGCTGAGGATTATGGGAAGGTTGAGGCTGTTCCTGTGGTTACAGGAGTATGAGCACTGGGGGCCAGGCACAAGGTTCAGGAGCAGGTCACAACAGAGTTCAGTACTTTGGGTTCTCTTTCCACCTCTAGGTTTATTCTGAGCAGGAACAGGAGGAGGAAGATGAACATCACATTCAAGGCAGCTGAACTCTTCCTCTTTAGGCATTTCAGCTCTTCAGTACTAACGTCAATTAAAGCCCAGAGGCTGAGGCACTTTGACCAGATCTTTCCAAAGAGGAACAACCCAGTTTTTCCACACACACTCAGCATAGCATGCTGTCATTTTTTCTGAAAATCCTCATTTAGAATGGGACTCAGGTCTAATAATCAAGGCTATCTTGGAATCCCAGTCTACATAACTGTGTCTGTTCTTTTTTCCATTTTTTGTTCCTTGTGTTTGTTTTTGCTCTGGCTTTTAGCGCTGCTCTTTGCTTTCTCACCATCTACCTCCATGCGTGCTAGGATTCTTAGTGTGAGAAGCAGCATCCTCCACAGATCTCTCCAGCACTGTGGGCGTCTGCTTTTGGTCTGTCAAAGTTGCCAAGATCTCTATTTGCCTACAACACAAATGCAGCTAGATTTCAACCACATTGTTTTTAACATCTTACCTGAAAAATTAGAGGAAGGCTGAAAACAATGGTAACCTTTATCCGCTTTCCTAGAGAAGAAGGAGACACTGTGTTATTGTTAGCAGTTAAGTAGGGGTTCCCACGTGATGTTCCTTTTGAAAACGTAGCTAAGGTTTAACAGAGCAATACTGTGCCCCAGTAGCATACCTGATCATGGCATTCTTAACTCTGTTACGTTCCTCACAGCTGGATAAACAAAAACCCAGTGAAGATGCTACCAGGCTAGCGCAGCATCACCTAACAAGTTACTGTCAGAGTGTCCTCAAGCCCAGGAGTCCGGTGCCTCCAGCCCCATAAGTTAAGGCTGATAGCTAAAGATCCAGTTACCTCTTGTGTAGTGCAACCATTTTTATAGTCAGTCAGCAGCCAGTGCCTTGTTCTGGGCTGTGAGGGTGTAGCATACTCAATGCCCATAAAAAAAACAGCTGTGAGTGCAATGAATTTGACCCTGACAGTGTGGTGACTGGACTGCAGAACAGGAAAGCTCTGCTCCCTGCAGGATATACATAACTGGAGCTCGTTGAAATTTATTATACAGCTCTAAATGTCAGAGCTGGCTTCTGCTGTCTTTGGATGTGGAGATAGAGGATGCTGACAGCTGGGAGGAAAAATTAAATTCAGAGCCAGATGTGATAATGTTGAGAGCAATCTCAGACAAACAGCTCTTCCTGCTGTGGTTAGCAGAGACGTAGGGGCCAGTGAAAGCTTTTTCTTACTGCTATTTAAAGCGCGTATCAGCATTTACCTCAGGCAGTTGGAATTAAAACTTTTTCTTGCTCAAGTTAGGCGGTGTGCTGGTAACTCAGAGAAAGCCCTCGCTGCCTTCTGCTCCAATGTGAGCTGAAGATGTGTCCTCCCTTGAAGGAGGGTTGGCATATTTTGTTTTGAGCATCATACTGCTCATCACAGGAGGTCATTCTCAGTGCTAGCTAGTGCCCTACACATCAGGCTCTTGCTTCCCCATAGCACTTTTCTGGTCCAGGATCACTGAGCAAGGCTAGGGCGGAGACAGGAGATGCTTTTTTTGCCTCTCCACTGTTTCTTCTAATGAACATGGCTTCCTCCTCCCAGGGAATCTGTTTGTTCATAGTTTTGACCGATTCCTTTCCCCCCGCCGTGTGCTCAGCAGTCTGTTGTACACAGCTCTGTTCTGAATTACTGCCTGCTATTTAGTTGCAGAGCAGTCTTTGTACCCTTCCCTGCTCTGCCACTGTCCTCCTGGACCAGGAGGATTAATTTCCACTACTTCAGGTAACTGCCACTCCATCCCCAGTAAGACCTGGTTTAGATCACACGCAATAGCATCATTAACAACAGAAGCAGTTATCTTGGTATCTGTGATCAGAGATACTCATATATACATGAATGGTGATGTGAGGGTGGAAGATCCCCAGCCGCATGTGAAAAAGCTGTACTGCTTGTTCCCTAGAGCCTTTACATGAGCTACCCACAACGTCTTAGAAGTTTGTGCCTCCCTTATGCTTTCATCTTTAAGCTGCTTCGTGTAACTGGGTGCTTAGTTATGTTCTTGCCCATCTCATTCTCTGAATCCTCCTCCTGGGGGAATCAAAAATATGTAATCACGTTTCAGTAGTGAAGTTTACAGTAAGGAGCAGAGTATGTCAAGGTAGTTTGGCCAAGATTAGCCTTGAGGATGAGGCTTAGCTAAATGCTTCTGACTCTACTCTCTTTATGTCCAATGCTTTTTGCTCTGACCAGTCCCAGACTGCAGGAAGAGGTTTAGTGAGCATTTGATTTAGCCACCTCTCCCTCCAAGTTCCTTAGCTGATTTTTGCACATCATACATAGGAAATGCACTGAAACCCCAAACAATCTAAACCTACTAGGTGAATTTAAGGAAGCCTGGAATGTTATTACCCACTCTGCCTGGGACCAGCTCTGCATGGGGACCCTGACCCCTGCAAAAAAACCCACTAGGGTCTTTAATCATGTTATACCTTCTTAATAGCCTGGTTTCCTAAGGGCTTCTGCAGTTTGTGCATCTGTCTGCCTGTGCCTGTTGCTGGATAATTATTACTTCTGCTGGCCAGTCTCAATCACATTTGGCAGGGGCTGAAGTCTCAAAGGTAATTATGTTCCTAAAAGTTTTATAAAAATGGAAGAGGCAGAGGAGAACCACCCTTTGGCATCCACCACTGTCAGCCCACAGGGGAAAGAGACCAACATAAATCCCACTTCATCAGTGCATTGCTCACGGAACTATTAAATTTAAAATATTTTTTTAAAAATAAGTTTTTTATGTTTAAATTTAAAATAAAAAAAATAAATTAAAAAAATAAAGTTTTTTAAATTATCTCCTCCAAAGAACACAACCACTATGCCTCCTGCTGCTAGACCGATTTGGAGTGTGTAACAAAATAGAACGGATAACGAAGTGACTCAACCAACGATGCTGAAACAGTTCAGCTAAGCATCATTCGTTTGAAGAGTTTCACCAATGGCTTTTTTTTTTTGGTTGCTATTTCAGATGTTTTAAATGTCACACGATTTTCAGTATAAAAAAAAAGCTTCCACTGTACCTTCTCCTCTTTACTGCCCCCACCTCAGCTTACGCATTTGCAAAGGCATAACTAGAGAGTCTGTGCAGCTTCATGATCCTTCCTTGCTACTCTGTTGAGTGAGTCCCTGAGTCACCAGTTTCAGGCAGACTGGACGAAACTCACTTCTCACTGCACTGCGCTTAAGAGTCCAGTGCAGTGGGGGAAGGGAGAGAGGGGCAGAAGCAAATGGGTTGCAAGAGAGGAAATGAGACATGCTTTGGACTTGAATAGGCAATTTTAGATAGGCTGAAAAAGAAAAGAAAGCTATGGCAGTTCTCAGCTGTGGGTATTTTCCTAAAGTTTCGTTCCTCAAAATATTAAGAAAAAAAAAAAACCCTCTCAAAAGTCCCCACAAACAGTAGAACTGGCAACCTTACGTAAAACCAACAAAAGCCCCGTTACAGTGAATGAGTCAAGACATGCTATGAAGCCCTGTTTAATCCCCCATCTCCCTCAGCTGGTTTGCTACAATTCTCAAAAGCACCCTCCTGTCCTGCAAGCCCTGGAAAGGCTTGGTGGAAAGGAAAACTGCTCACTGTGAGTGAAGAGGGATGGAACATGCTCTGGGAATATCTCAGTGCAACTTCTGTCAAATGAACTGCAAGGAGATGACTTCCCCTGATCACTCCTGTGAAAGATGGCAGCAGTTTTAAAAACACTTAAAATTACCCTGCATCTGCTCCCATTTATACACAGATGAAATAGCAAAATTGCTGTTGATGGCAGTGGCTGGGGAAGGTGGGGCAGCATCGAGTCAGTTTTGAAAAATCTTCCCCCATCGAACAAGCACATGGGATGGGATTCATCTTACTTAACTTTAGCCATTGACATCTGATTAATTGTTTAGGCTCCCTTGATAGTGAAGGGAAAAAAACAGGTGTTTAAGGCATGATTCACCTGTCTGGGGGTGAATGTCTGCGGTGCAATTCGTTTAATGCTACAACAGAAGGGTGAACATATAAGTTTGGACAGATGAATCCCATCCTGTTTATCTGAATATCTCCTCAGCACCAGGAACTGATCTCAAGCAAGATAAAAGCAGCAGCAGCACAAATGAAGCCCTGTAGGTATGCCAAGAGATAGAAACTCAGGCTTGGAATTAGAAAAAAGTAGAATGCTTGCTAAGCAACAGCAGGAAAGCTTCCAACAGTGAGAAGTATTTGGCAGCAAAAAGTCTTCCCAAAGGAGGGAGGAGGAACAGAAACACAACCTATGAGGATGTTTAAAACTGGACTGGACAAACAAAATCCTGCAGAATGAATCCCTGGGGTTTGTTCCGCGCAAGGAACTCCCTCCTGCTCTGCAGGCTGGCTCCTCCCTGCACAGACCAGGCTCTGAACCAAACCATCCTGGAGAAGCAGCTGTTCACCTCTGTGCTAATGCCAAGGAATGCACAAAGTGAAAAGCAGTAGGTTGTGTTCACTGGATTCTCAAGAATACTTTAGATAATATTGGCAAAGGTTAAGCAAACTTGCTCTGCCTGAACCCTCACAGTGAGATTTTTTTTCCTGTTGGCCAGAATTGCAAAGCAGAAGTTTCAATCTCAAGCACCTTAGCACGCATTTTGGCGGTGAGTAATGTACTGTTTATATCTTTACCCATGTACCAGTTTCTGGTGCCTCCTCACCATCAGTGTAGTAGGCTTTTGGGGAAAGCAACCAGATATTTCTGAGAAGAATTAATCATATTTAAATAATATAATGACTTTTGGCCGTTAACAGCTCAGTGCCTGTTCCTCCCCCCCAACTTATTTCTCACAACTGATAGAGGAAAGAGGCCCTCATTTCAGGAGTGAAAAGGCCCAATGAAGCTAAGTCATACTTTTATTTCATACATTCATAGGCCTGTATTACAGAAGAAAGTTGATAATTATTTTTCTCCACCTCTTTAGGGAAATTGTGACTCAAAAGGCAAGGTAAGCAGAGATAAGCAAATTAGAAAATCATTCTTAGATGAGCTGATCATGTGTTTCCTACGTTGCTATTAAGACAAAAAAAAAAAACCACACACACAATAATGCTGTGCACTTGCCCCAGTTGTTTTAACATTCCTAGAAATGTTTCGGAATATTCTACTGAAATTCAGTGGCGGGACAAAAACCCTCCAAAATCCAAAGCAGAACTATTGCCCTACTCTTATTGTCAGATTCTTTCTCTCTTTTTCTATCATAATTAACCTTTACCAATTAACTAAAGCATAGAACCCTCCTCAGAGTAACAGGCACAGGCCAAAAATTTAAATAAGATCACAAAGAGATTAATCTGTGGTGAATAGATCCAGTTGGGTTATGAAACATGTTAGTTTGGATGCAGCTTCTGGTTCAGGAATTTACTGACCCATTGATTGTTAGAAGCAGGGAAGATGCATCCATGAGAAGACTCTCTCTGTCCGTTCCCCATTTCTGCGTTTTGGATCTTACGGAATCCAGTACACCCATTCCTACCTTCTAATCACAATTGTTTTGTTACTGTAACCTTTCTAGAGACTTTTCATGTGAGCAGAGCGTGCCAGAGATGATTCTTCGTGCGTAATGCTGCGCTTTTAAGACTTCCACAGGCAGTGGACAGTCAGGAACTCTCTGAATTCTTCCCATCACCTTTGCACATGTGGTGAATCGCTCTCTTGCACTAAACAGGAGCAAGCTGCGTCCCCCAGTGTCGCTTCAAAGGTTGGGTGACCTTGAGCTCCCACTTCCTAATTCAGCATGAAGTTCAGCACCAAATGCTTTTGCTCTTCACTTTACATTTGGTGGAATACCCCTCTGCTTAATTCATGAATCACTGCTGACCTTCCAGAAGGAGAAAGCCCTGCCTAGAGAGTGAAGAGTAGGTTGGGGGTTGAAACACAAGACAAAGATAATAGAAAGAAGTGGTTATTTTCCCAACTGTACCAGACTAGCTCTCTGTGTGATTTTGCATGAGTCACTTCAAATTTCTGCATCCTAGTTTCTTGATTTCTTCAATCCCAATAAATTGAAATCTTTGATTTGAAAAATGTCACAGAAAAGGCAGAAGCACTCCCCATTCCACCCCATGGCAAAGCTTAATTCATTACTGCCAGAGGAGGGCTTTACTGGAATGAACCTATTGGCTCTTGCCCTGCACTCACCATCCTTATTACAACTGACCACGCTCTCAGTTGTGGAGAGGTATCAATTATATTATGAGCTTTGTTCATAAACTAATTTAACCTCCTGAGTGTCTTCATTTGTCCCTCTTCCCTGCATCTCTCTCATTTACACTGGAATTACGGTTTTCAAATATTTGAGCAAAAAGTTAATAAAAACAAGTCAAAAAGAATAAATAATAGTTTTAGAGAGGAGGGAAAAAAAAATAAAAGTCTCTTATCTACCACATCTGACCCCACAGTGCCATTCCCCTCCTACAGCCTTCCACCTACTCAAGCTACTGGAAGCAGGTGCCTGCAGAGCCCTTGATATGAAAAAACAATAACAAATGACTAAAGAAATGATGAAACTTTCTACAAGACACAAATAAGCTGCAAGTGTTGTACCTCCTGGGCTGATGGGAATGACATGCACCAAAGAGCAGGCAATTCTCTTGTGCGCTTATTCTTTGCATACTTCATGATGATGGGTAAACCATGGGAATACAGATCCATGTGGAATGCTCTGACTCAGGGCTATTCCACCAATGAGCAGATGCAAAACTAATTTTTGCAGAGGTTCAAAGTTTTGTGGCCACAGTGCAGATATTCATTAATGGTAACAGTTTGCATGAGACTGGAGAGGTCTAGCCAAGAATAAACTCAGATATGCCTGCTCCAATTCCTTGATTTATTCACTGAACTAAGATAATACCAGGGAGACAGCATTGTCTATTTTTTAGGAACATGAAAACAAGGTATGAATGATACAGGAAGAGTTAATTTGCTTTGGGACAGAAGAGTTCCTTGAAGTCACCGCTCCAAACCTACTTTTTGTGTTTCTGACGTAATTGATTTTCTTTTTCAGCTTGTAAAAAAAAAAGATAATTTTGCTTGGGATTTTTTTTATAGTAAATATAAGGAAGATGGAAACTTTATTTCACATCATTTACATGCTCTGTTAAAATTGTCCGTTGCATTCCTGTGTCACAGGACATGAATTTGGACATTGTCCTTATTATTAAAGCTGAAGACAAAGCCAGAGACCGCAGAATGTGTACTCACCACTGTCCATGGTCTTGTTTCAAACAGCAGCGAAATCACAAGGCTAGCGAGAGCATCATACGTTCCAGTGTAGCCTCAATGCACTGTGCCTCTTGCCAGAGACCCTCTTAAGGGCACTCTGCCTTATATACTTCCTGCACCTCTGCAAGAGGCTTGTGACATGCCCTGGCAGCGCTGACATTTAGTAGACCCTCCTCCTCCTCCTTGTGCTTTCACCAATACAGGAAAGTTGTGCTACGTGCCACGTTCCCTTCAGACACTGTGTTCAGGTTCTTCCTCAGTGCATGCAGCTGAGGTCTGAAACCACACGCACACCCTCTGAGAGCACAGTAAAACAGCAGGTTCTGCTTTTGCACTGACACATGAGACTTGTAACTGTGGTAAAGGGACAAGAGGAGAGAATCTCCCTTCTTCTGTCATTTCTGCTGCTCACAGTAGATCCTACTGTATCCAGCAGAGCATCAACCAGAACAGAGTGTGGTAGGAAACAGAAGACTCATCTCCTCCAGAACACCTTCCCCAGAAATAGTCAACTACTGTGTGGAAAATCTCAATACACAGAACCGCCAGTGACAGGCATCCCTTCACCCCTCTCCCACATGCTCACATCACCCTATTGGTAGACAATCAGCAGCTCCCAAACTAGCAAGTGAACTTCCCCACTTCTTTTTTCTTTTCTGTTTAGCGTTATCATCTACTGAGTATCAGCAGGCACTGTTTTCCTCAAAAGCTTTTGCACGTTTGTGGTTAGTTCTGCTCCTTCCCCACCATGATGTTACTGCAGAAATTTCAGGTACCAGGGCAGAGCCCTGGAAAGACCTGCAGCACTGTCAGTTCTGGTCCCTACCTTGAGAGGGAGTCACTTCATCTAATCCTGTTCCTAAGTGGATCCAGCTTCAATATAAAATAAATGGCTTTTGTTTTGTGGCTGTCTGATTTGGACAGCTGACAGTTCTTGAAACTCACTCCTGTAGCAGCTAAGAAACATCACCAGCTCCTCATGCACTTTCTGTCCTTCCAAAGTGACTTAGTACTCACTCCTCCTTGTTGGGAGCGTTCCTGCTGGAGGCTTTGATCCCAAATTGCACAGCCTTAAGTACCGTCACATGCATGTGTACTTAACTATAGAAAATTACCTTTTAACTGAGGATACGGTGAGTGCTGTCTTTGTTGTATCAGCATACCTGTACAGCCTATTGTATTTTAGCACCTTGACCTGTGCATCTTCCTCTTACGATATGGCAATGCTGTTATTGCAGCCAGGAGAGATGGAAAAATAAAGCATCACAGGAACAGGCTCAACAGTACCTAGCCCTTTAGGGCTGGAGTTAGGCGTGTCAATATCCTACTTAGTGTGCAAAAGAGGGTTAAACAGTTCCAGATGGACCAGAAAGAGCCAGCTCAGTGAGCAGAGAACTGCCAAAACTAGCTGGAAAGACCAGTCTCAGAAGAGAATCAAACTGGGGCAATCTTTGTGTGATTGGGAAACACTTAAAAAGACACCATTCTGTTTCAGTAAATTGAAAACAAAGCAAAGCTAATGCCTATCTACATTGCATTGATTCTTTTTGCAGGGAGGGGAAAGATGGGTTGAAGGATCTGGATCGAGGTGATCTGGACTGATTTAGAGATTATCTATTTACACTGCATCAGAAAAATAATTATTGTGTAATTAAATAGCTTTGAGACATCTGTGCTGGGCAGCTGATTTCTGGCTATCCTGAACAACTATTTTCTCCAGCATAATCAGATTGGAGTCTTGCCAAATAACCGCATAACATAAAACATGTATTAAGAGTAGCAGAATGCCTAGATCACAGAATCGTTTAGGTTGAAAGGGACCTCTGGAGATCATCTAGTCCAACCGCCCTGCTCAAGCAGGGACCTCTAGAGCATATTGCCCAGGATCACAGCCAGACGGGTTTTGAATATCTCCAGGGAAGGAGACTCACTACCTCTCTGGGCAACCTGTTCCAATGCTCTGTCACCCTCACAGTGAAGTTTTTTCTCAGGTTTAGGTGGAACTTCCTGTGGTTCAGTTTCTGCCCTTTGCCAGGCACCATGGAGAAGAGGCTGGCCTCATCCTCTTGACACTCCCCCTTCAGATACTTGTACATGTTGATGAGATTGCCTCTCAGTCTTCTCTTCTCCAGGCTGAACAGGCCCAGCTCTTGCAGTCTTTCTTCATAGGAGAGGTGCTCCAGCCCTCTAATCATCTTTGTAGCCCTCCACTGGACTCTCTCCAGTAGTGCCATGTCTCTCTTGAGACAGTAACATTAAACAAACTGACTGGTTATGTCAGCACTAGCACCCCAGCCCTCTGATATACCTGCCCAAGGCAGAATCTCTCTCTGTGTACCCAAGTGCTTTCAGGCAGCATGCACACAAGAAAGAGCCTGTGCCAGAAACACTTCCTCCTCCTGCCTTCCAAAGAGGAAAGCCTTGTCCAGAATAGGTAAGATTGAGTTGTACGTGAATGATAACTCTTCTAAACATTAAAGCTCATGACCCCAGAAAATCTGATAGTCCACAGCTCTTGAGAATAGTGAACACTTTGCACACTATTGGGAAGAGCAATTTCCTCATTTCCTCCAGCATAGATTAGCTCTGGAAAAGCTGAAGATTCTGTACTGTTAAATATATATATATATACACACACACTTATATATAAACTGTGCAATATGTTTCTATTAAAAATTTAAAGAGATTTTGATGGTTAACCACATCCAAAACAGGACTTCAGTAGAACTTGAGCACCTAAATTTAATAGTCTGATCCTAAAACTACGTATCACTTGCTGTCTAGCCTTTAATACTATAAAGGCTTCAAGTTGAAGCCAGATGTACCACTTTCTAGCTCTCCCTTAAGCCTGAATTAAGTATACCCGAAGTTGTGGATCCTGCTGATATTCTCAAATCATATGTTAAACATCCATCTACAGTTTCAGACCCTCCTTAAGCCTTGTGTCAGCCCAGTTTTCTCTTAAGTGCCTTCTCAGTGTTTAGCTCTGGGTAAGCTGATGCCACTGTTGTTTTGATCCCCTTCAGGAACACTTAATGGGCCCTCCATGCTCTGCCAGGGCAGCTCTCCAGTGCTGGACTCTGCATCCCCCACATAACTCACCCAAAGCCAGGTGCCCACAAGTAACTGCACTTAGCACTGCAACTGCACTTAGCACTGCAACATGAAGCATGCCTGGAGACTATCAACATTTTTATCTGGCTTCCCAGAAGGTGACCTACAAAGTTTCCTTAGCATTGTCTAAACACACATCACTAGGTTTTAAGAACACTTGTTTTTGACCTGTCTCTGTAGGCAGATGCATTTCACAGCTCTGTGGCTCTATTGCTGCATTTTCCTTTTGTTCATCAGTTATCCAGGCAGGTACCTTTGAGAGTTAGATTTTAACCACTTCTGCGAGAAAGGGCTAGAGATCAAAGACTTCTCTCAGGTATCGGCAGAATACTTCGAAAGGATGGGTGTAAAGTCTTTGTAAACAGAATCACTGTGTTGTCTGTGGTAGTGGCAAGTATATAAAGATAGGCACAATCTCCTAGATTTACTCTCTACTCCCACAGTTCTCGGACAGAAGGGAACCAAACTTTAATGCAGAATCTCAGTGAATATATCACCAAATCCATGGCAGCTGAAGCCAAAGACAATGAGAGAGAAAAAAAAATTCAGGCAGAAGGTTTGCAGGTTGTTGTTTCCTGTGCATATTCACAAGTTTTAGCTTTTGATACATACTAAATTGTGTGTTGTCAGAGCCAACTAATTTAAGCAAATTGTCTTCCTGAAAACACAGCTGGTAAATTTTGCAACGACAACTTGCAATGGGTATGTGTCACTGAATCTTTCTGTAGCAGTTATGTTTCATACCTGAGTAGCTCTCAAAACATTTATGAAAGCATTGTTTAACTTTAACATGCATATTTGCAGTCCATTTCATGCCTTAGTGACTCTCTCTTTGAGATATTCCCTGTAATATGTGCTTCCTGTGAGCTATCTTTTGCAAAAATATAAGCCTACGTGAACATTCAGACATAATATAATCTTCAACAATGCCTGGCCTAATCCATGCCAAAGATTGTCACACTGTGCTGTTTTCGCAGGATGATGTTTGTTATGCTAAAATTCAATTATAAAAAAAGTGTTCAGGACTGAAAACATCTGAATTCATGGGTATCTTGTTAGAACCTTGATTTACTATTGCCACTTCCACTGCAAGAAAAGTAGAAATCAGTGGTGCAATTTACTGCCCGCATTGCGGTGTTAGCGCAACACTGAAATTATTCATCAAGTTGACTTTTCAAAAAAAAATGCCGTTCCCAAAAAACTCCACAGGAAATTAGTTCAGAAAAAGATTTCAGGTTAGTTCAACACAAACTGAAACACTGAATTTGTTGAACTGAATTGAAAGATGTAATTTTGAATTGATTTGACATTAAATTGCAACTCATTTGGTGATGAAATGTCTCATGGGAATTTAGTTCATGTATTTCACATCCATGCCCTGTTCTATAAATAGGACTTCTTTCAGTCTCTTCTTCAGCTAAGTCATATGGATGACAGTACAGCATAGGAGACGGTGCCTGGCCAGCATGCACAGGCTGTATAGAGTAACTGTACTATAATCTTATAAAGTAGAATTCCTGAGGCTCCATTGCACCTTAGCAAGGCGTAATTTCATTCTGAAAAGGCACAAAACAAGATCTTTGATTTGGTGACATAAAAACCTTTCCTGCATTTTCCATTAATTTGCTGTTGAGTTGAGATGAAAACAGACTTAGAATTTCTCAGCAAGTGGAAAGTCCATTCAGCTTCACCTGGTTCTGGTCATTGCAGGACAAAGAATCAACTCAGCTGCATTTCATGGGTTAGCTCACACAGTGCTGAACGAGCCGCAGCAAACAGCTTCAGGTAAACAGGCAAAAATTACTATTGTCTAGCTCCAGGCTGAGTATCAGAAGACAAGTTTTTCATAAAAGTGAAATAAAACATTATAGGCCAAGTTTAGGTATCACAGGTGCCTTGCCAACTTCTGATCTGTCCCTCTTTTCCCTGCATC